AGTTGATTGAAGTCATTAGGTTCAGTAAAGGTCAATATTACTATTAATTACGTTTTGACCAGTCTGGGATCTCAGCCTGTAGTTACCGTCCTCCAGCTGGGTGGGGGCTAGTTCCTGCAGAACTCAAAGATATGTATTAGATTGTTACGTTTGTCTCTTGGATATAGGAAGAACTAGGAGGAATTAAGGGGAGGAATTAGGACTCTTTTATTACTGAGCTATTGTTTCCTGATTGCTTTCCCTTTGTTCCTGCATTCTTTAGTTCCCTTAAATCATTAATTACTGAGACCTCTTTGAGGGCAAGAATTGTGGCCAGGCTTGGATCACAAAGTGGCTTAGGCTAAAAATGGCTTCTCTTAAAGTAAAAAACAAACAAACAAACAAAAAAAACCAAGGTCAGTTCTCTTTCTCTGGGGACCCCTTACCCTATCTACTTACACTATAATCATTTGTGTGCAAGTTTTTGGGTGAACAGAACATAAGTCATTTTCTCTGGGATAAACACCCAACAGTGCAATCACTGGTCATGTGGTAAGCACATGTTTAGTTTTATAAGAAGCCAAACTTTTCCAGAGTGGTTGTGTACCATTTTACACTCCTGCCAGCAATGTGTGAGCGGATCCAGTTTCTCCACCTCCTTGAGAGCATTTGGTGTTGTCACTATTTTTTATTTTAGCCATCATCAAAGGTGTGTAGTGATATCTCATTGTGGTTTTAATTTGCATTTCCCTAATGGCTAATGATGCTGAATATCTTTTCATGTGCTTATTTGCCATCTGCATATCCTCTTCAGTGAAATATCTTGTCTTTTGCTCATTCTCTAATTGGATATTTTTTTAACAGTTGAGTTGTGAGAATTCTCTATATAGTCTAGATACAAGGGCTGTGTTGTGTATGTGGTTTGCCAATATTTTCTCCCACCCTGTAGCTTGTTTTTTCATCCTCTTCTCAGGGTCTTCTGAAGAGCCAGAGGTTTTCATTTTGATAAGATCCAGTTTATCAACGTTTTCCTTGTATGAATTGTGCTTATGGTGGCAAGTCTAAAAACTCTGCCTAGCCCTTGGTCCTGAAGATTTTTTACCATGTTTTTTTCCTAAACTTTTTACAGTGTTGACTAAAAAAACCCACACAGCCTAAAAGTAGTGAGGTAAGTTTTATTTGATGACCCTACTGATGACTATAGCTTGGGAGACAGTCTCTCAGATAGCTCTGAGGAACTGTTCCAAAGAGGTAAGGGAGAAGCCAGGATATATAGTTTTTGCTGAAAAAAACAAACAAGAAACATGTTAGTGGAACATCAAAAGATTACTGCTAATCAGTTTAGAGAACAGACTTGTGGTTGCCAAGGGGGAGAAGGGTGGGGGAGGGAAAGATTGGGAGTTTGGGATTAGCAGATGCAAACTATTATATATAGGATGGATAAACAACAAGGTCGTATTGTATAGCACAGGGAACTATATTCAGTATCCTGTGATAAACCATGATGGAAAAGAATATGAAAAGGAATATTTATATGTATAACTGAATCACTTTGCTGTACAGCAGAAATTAACACAACATTGTAAATCAACTATACATCAATAAATTTTTTAAAAAATTACTGCTAATCACACAAAAAGCTGCATTGGATTAAAAAAATACGCTCATTGAAATTATTCATTTGATACGCATCTTAACTATCTAGGGCCAGTACCCTGTTTTTCTCCTGATTTCCCTTCAGTGTGCATCATTGGGGAGGCTACAGTGGCTGATGGCTTGATGTCAGGCAGCAGTCTTTGTTTACTGAAATGGCAGGCAACATTTTCTTTCTGTCTTTTTTTTTTTGTCCACATAGTTTTACACTTACAAAACTATGATCCATTTGGAGTGAATTTTCATTTAAAGTGGGAGGTTTAGGTAGAGGTGTTTTTTCTTCTTCTTCTTTTGCCTATAGATGTCCCATTGCTCCCGCACATTTGTTGAAAAGGCTCCTGATTCTGCTTTGTATCTTACCCCATCCATTCCTCCTACAGCAGTCAGAATGATTTTTTTTTTTTAAATGTGTATCAGATGATATGACGCCCTACTCAAAATCTTCCAATCACTTCCCACCAAAACATAATCTTGCTGCTCTCCAACCGCAGTTTCTAGTGCTCAACGCCCACTATAACACTGGCCCTTGGGTAATCACCAGAGTTGCTCCCTCACTTCATGCAGGTCTATTCTACTGCCACCTCCTTTAAACTTTAAAGTAGTTTACTGCTTCAATCTTCCTTCCGCCCTTGCCCTGCTTTTTCTTAACAACATTTGCATACTATGATATATTTCATATTAATTTGCTCATTTATTTATTGTTTGTCCCCATAACCAGCTCCAACAAAGTTTACTGTTATACCCCAGACCCTGAAACAATACCTGCCACACAGAAGTTACTCGATAAAAAATCTGCTTGACAGGCTGGAAAGAATGAGTAAATGTAAAACGAGGGCGACCGTCTACTTTTAGGTCAGGCGCTCGTTCAGACTCAATGAAAAGTGTGAGCGCCACCTCGCGGGAAGCCAATTTGCTCGAGAAAACGGACAGTCACAGAATCTTAAGGAAAAAAAAAAAAAGATGGCGGTAGCCAGCCAGAAGAGCAGGAAAAAACAGTACCGGAAGTTTAACTTTGGAAATTGCTCCCTAGAATGACATCCGACTGTCAGGAGGAAGCGTAGGCGAGTGGTGTTCTGCAAAATGGGCCCTCCCGCAGCGGATCTGGGCAGAAGCGTTCCGCGCGGGCGGGTGCCGGGAACCACGAGGGGCGGGGGCGCATTTCCGGTGCCGGTGGCAGCAGAAGGAGTTGAAGCCCAAGTAGCCGGATTGGTGAGAAGGGTTCGGGGTACTGAAAGGAAAGGGAGAGGAAGGGGAGGGGGAGGCGAAGAGGTCGGATGAGTTCCGCTCTGAGAGGTGGCCAGGGTGATGGGGTGGGAGGGAAGCGCCTTTCGACGGGTGCAAACCTGTCAGCTCACGTCCCACGCCACGTGGACTCACCTTTGTCCGTGGCTGCTTTTCTCATCAGGACGCGACCGCAGGGGTTGTGCCTTATTTGTTTCTGTCTAGCGCAGTGCTGGGCTCTGAATGAATGACAGGTGTGTGTCAGGTGGATGTGGAGGACACTTACAGGGACTGTTTGTAGCTCTTTAGCTACATTTTCTCCTGGGGAATCCATGCTTGTCTCCAGCTTCCCCCGGGAGATCTCCGCCAGTTCTTGGGCTTTGTCTCTTTTTCTTGGAGGTGTAGGGTGATTATCATTTAAGACATTTTCTTTGCTCTTATTGAGTGCTAGGCCCTGTGGCTAGGTACCAGGGACAGACACAGAAGTAATCCATTCGTGTATACAGGCGGCAGGCCAGAGGAGAGACAGAAAACAGAAAATTCAAACATATTGTTAAGATGCTGAAATAAGAGGTAAAGTACAGGAAGATAGAGCCAGGAGGTGGTGCTGTTATCCACAGAGGGATTGACTTTCAAGGTGAACGGACTCCTTTCTCATCTTGTGGAGACAGAGCAGGTCCTGAGCCCGATCTTTTTCTCTGTAAAAGGAAAAGTCTGGAATAGATACTTTCTAGGCTTCCTTCCAGCATGATGTTGCATATCAGATATTACTCATGGCAATAGTTCTCCCACAGTCCACCGTTTATTGGTTAGTCAGAATATTCATTATATCTCATGATATAGCATAAGTTGCATAGGGTTGGGAAATCTGGACTTTGGTCCTCATTCGGGTGCCCTAGATCTGTTTCCTCATTTGTAAAAGAAGGGGATTGTAATGAAATAATCTGTAAAACCCCTTCTAGTTCTAATACCATGACTGTGGCGGTAGGTCAAACCATATTTTAGGCTGCCCTGTACCAGACATCACTTTCACATTATCACTGTGGTGTCCCTCATCTGGATAATTGAGAGATAGTGTCTTTTTTTTTTTTACATCCCCTGCCTTAGTTCTGCCACAGTATTGGGTACACAATAGATGCTTATGTTAGTTCAAAAACTGGATCCTGTACACAGAAGGAAAGCAGAGACTGAAGAGAGGCAGACCACTCCACAGGTATAATGAGCAACGGAGCTTGAGGCCTATCTTGGGTGGTTGCGAGACGAGTAGATCTCTGCTCTCGCCCACGAGGATTTTAAAAGTATGTGTAGAGGCCTTCACTAGGTACAGTCACATGTTCAGTTCAGATGGTCTCAACAACACCTTACTCTCTCAAGGCTGTGTCCTTCGAACAGCCCCTACTGTGGGGACAGTAGGCAGACTGTACATTCCAAGGACAGGGGTGGGGGTGAGGAGCCTCCAGTTTCTGGGTTCAGCTGATAGTTATGACCTCCTCCAGTACTCCGCCGCTTGTGACTGGCCCTGGCAGTCTCACCCACTTCTTCTGCAGGGTCAGAAGTGTGCCCTGAGAGGTTAGCAAGGGGTTCTGCCAGCATGGCGTGGCTCATTTTGGCAGCTCTCTGACTGCAGTGGAGGCAGATGCCACAGCAACAGTATAGAGGCACATCGAAGAGAAAGCATGGATTAAGATGAGTCCCCAAATAAGTAACAGTTTTCTCTATGAAGAGCCCCATAATCTGAACCATTGATTTCCTACGTCCCCTTATGAGGCAGTAATAATGTCCAAGGCTCTTCTGTTTTGGAGGACAGCTTTTCTCATGAAAGATATTTCAGTGATTGGTAACGACAGGCTTTGCAGGCTGTCATTTAAGGCTTGCTGGGTGAAGTTAGTAAGGGCTTCTCTGTATGCTATAATGTCCTCCAGGCCAATGGAGGGGACCAAGATGGTGGCTAAATGATTGTACCAGTAGAAAACGGATCATGCCCATCTGGCCTGGAGGAGAGGGAGGTTGGTGGCTTTAGGAACTTGGCCCGGTTGTACATACCATACATATTGGCCGGGGCAGGCAGCGGTGGACTGGGGGCAGGATATGCCAGACCAGGAACCCCACCTTCTCCCCTCTTTCAAAGATGCATGTTTCATTCCAGCTATAGCACATTTCAACAGTCGGGCTTGCAGTAGGACAGCAGGATCCCAGTGGAGATTGAGTAAGTCTCCTTTACCCAGAGGTGTGAATTCACCCATCCCGGTGAGACATCCCATTGCAAATTCCAGTAGATAACTCCTTTCCCAGGTATGATGGGGCTTAGTGTTCTCAGCAGCACAGTACACGGATCCACAGAGAAAGGTGGGGCAGTGGCTGTTTCCCAAAACTTCCTTACTTGTATGGCATTGGGTGTCTTGTCAGGGGTCCCCAGTCTGGCATTTGGGGCCGTAGGTTCTACTGGTTGATCATTCAAATGCATCAGAATCTGGGACAGTACTTTAGTCCACCCGACCAAGGTGTTTTTACCTGTTAGTAATTTAATCTGATGCTTTACTCTTCCATTTTTCCTTTCTGCCAGTCCTGCTGCCTGTGGGTTATAGGGGAGATGGAACTTCCATTTGATGTCATATTCTTTTGCCCAGTCATGACTTTTTTTTTTTTTTTTTCAGTCATGACCTTTGAAATATAACCCCTGATCACTGTGTATTCAACAAAGGTATCCATACATGGTCTTAGCTTCTCTAATCCCGATAGCGGCAGCCTGGTTTGTGAGGCAACAGGGGACAGCTTGGGTTGGGCCAGATGCAGTGTCCACAAACACCAGAGCATATTTAGAACCCTCACTAGGAAGGAGGGAGCCACTATAATCAATTGGCCGATTTCACATCAGTTGGGAGCTCTGGTGGGTGGCCCCAGACTCCTCTGGCAGTGGCCTTGGGTGTTGTTTAGAACACACAGGACATGCTATTACTGCATTAATCGAGTCACTGTATTTCAAAGGCGGTCCAGCATCCTTGGCAATATGTCATCCCCCTGGGCACTTCAGTGTTCCCTCTCCTATGCACCCAAGGGTCAGTTGCTAGGACTCATTTCTGGCCCAGGGCATCAGCTTCTTGATTGCCAGAGGATGTCAGTGCCTTATGAGCCAGGGTGTGGAAGACAGTGAGGAGTGCCTCAGACTCTTGCAGGTGAACCCAAATGTCTTTTTACGTATCCAGACCCCACAAGGCTTATTTATGATCATTCACCTCTTGTCTTTCCATTGTCTAAGCCATAGGGTCAATCCCTTTAGAACAGCCCAACTGTCAGTGCAAAACATTAATGGCCAGGGCTCACCAGCCCGCTGGAGGCTGCCGTTTGTTCCTCTTTCCAGGCATGTGTATATCAGGCATCAGTGGGAATTTCCCACGCTCCCTCTCTACAGGCCGACACAGGAACAGGGCCAGGACATTTGGAGGACCTACATTCTCTACAGGGCCTAGGAGCGCCCACATTTCTAGACAGCGGGCCGGTGGTAGGGTACCCCTCTGCTGCAAATAGACGTGTCATTTAGTCAGTGTGGGGGGGTTTGAGCCATGGCAGAGGTGGGTAGATGGAACATATTCTGAACAACCCCTTCAAAGGAAGGGAAGTTCTTACCATGATGTGCTGTTTCTTTGTGAGAGGCTGTACCCGGAGGAATGCTGTGTACACTGCTAGAAGCTGTTACTCTGTGGGGGTGTATTGGGTTTCTGCCCCCTTCCAGGGACCAAAAATCCTAGGGGTACTCTCTTTCTGTTGTCTCTCCCACAGTGCCCAACCCAGATCTGCTGGAGTCACAGACACATCTAACTCAAATGGTAGTCCGGCTTGGGAGATGCCCAGAACTTCAATTTGCTTCACTAATATTTTTGCCATCTGAATGGCGGCCTGCTGCTCTGATCCCCAGTCCCACGTATGCCCTCTCATTACCAGGTGGTGTAAGGGATGGAGGCCCTGTGCCAGATGGGGAATAAAAGTCCTCCAAAACCCCCAAATTCCTACCAAGGCTTGCACCTCTTTTACATTCTTAGGGGTTGGATAGGCTTGTACATTATCAATGACAACTTCTGGGACAACTTGAATCTTACCCAAACGAAGGACGGCCAGAAATTTTACTGAGGTGCCTGGGCCTTGAATTTTTTGTGGATTCACTGCCCATCCTCTCCCTCACAGATGTTCCAGCAAAGCCTGCAGAGTGTCCTGCAACAGGGGCAAGTCTTCACATGTGAACATTATATCATCAATGTAATGGGCCCGTTTTACTGAAGTGGGGAAGGGGAACAGGTGCAGGTCTTGGGCTATAATCCCATGACATGTGGTGGGGCTGTGCAGGTAGCCGTGAGGAAGTCCTTGAAACGTCCATTACTGTCCCTCTCAACATGAAGGCGAATTGATCTTAGGTATCAGAAACCTGTGCTTGTTAAAGTTTTTCCATAAAAGTCCTTGAACGTGAAGCATTTTTGCAGGAACAGTTTTGCAAAACCATCAGAGTACAGCAATGACAAAAGACTTTAAAATGGCCATGGTTAAAGATCTGATGAGAGTTCATTATAATACAGTCGACAAGGGAATTTGATTGCTTTTGTGACATACATTTTAAAATTATAACTAATAACATCATATCAGGACATATCAGATTTTTAGGAATTTCATACAAATATAGCCCAAAGAAAGTTTAACATCACTTCTTTTTTTTTAAAATTTATTTATATTTATTTATTTTATTTTTGGCTGCTTTGGGTCTTTGTTGCTGAGCGCGAGCTTTCTCTGGTTGCGGCGATCCGGGGCTACTCTTTGTTGCGGTGCGTAAGCTTCTTCTCACTGTGGTGGCTTCTCTTGTTGCGGAGCACGGGCTCTAGGCTCGCGGGCTTCAGTAGTTGCGGCATGTAGGCTCAGTAGTTGTGACTCATGGGCTCTAGAGCGCAGGCTCAGTAGTTGTGGTGCACGGGCTTAGTTGCTCCACGGCATGTGGGATCTTCCTGGACCAGGGCTCGAACCCGTGTCCCCTGCATCGGCAGGCAGATTCTTAACCACTGTGCCACCAGGGAAGTCCCTAACATCACTTCTTATTTGACAGAGTTTCCCATATAATTTAATATATCAAATAGGCTAATTAGTTTAGTATCTCTCTTTTATAAGGAAAGAGAATACGTCTTTTGAGACGTTCCAGGGGCCCTCTGGAAAATCCCAAAGTTAGTTCTAGGTCAGCATAACTTTATTTAGAATTAGATTTTGGGGAAGCTTGTCAAAAATACCAAAAGGTTTTAAAACACTAGATTAAATAGGATCTTAGCTCACTGTGAAACAATACTTAGTTTTCTATTTAACTTAAGTGACAAAGACTCCAAAGGCAAATACAGAAAGTTACGTAATTGTAAAAAAAACCTTAGCTCTTTTAATAGAGGAGATTCAGTTTTCTTAAGTAATTGAAGATGTGATAAAGACAACATGAAGCACAAGAAATTATTTGAATAAAACCACAGAATCTTTTTTCTGGGCAGGTTACTCAAAAGGTAAAGGAAAACCTCTTACAGTCCCATAAGGAACAGACCAATAGTCCAACAAAACTTTGTCCTTTGAGCAGATGAAAGAAAATTGTTTCAGCTTTATATAAGTACACTATTGATATCAAAGCTTATTTTTCTTTAGGCCAACTAAATAGAGCTCTTTTACAAGTTAATTTTGACAATACTCTCTGGAGATAGAAAAACATCACCTATATATAATAAATCCATAGACATACGAACATACTGACAGACACAAACAGAGAATCCATAGCTTTCTCTCCAGAACTTTAGCCGTGAATCAAGTATCCACCCACATGGCTGAAGCCTTTTATTAATATTTGCGAGAAGATTTTAAAAATTTGGGAATTCCGTGGTGGTCCAGTAGTTAGGACTCCACGCTTCCACTGCAGGGGGAATGGGTTTGATCCCTGATGGGGGAACTAAGATCCCTCAAGCCGCGCAGCGTGGCCAAAAAAAAAAAAAAAATTTGTACTTGCCTTTGATGAATAATCTTAGGGAAACTGTGGACTAGATTTTGTGGGAGGGTGCTCCTATAGCAGTCTGTGTTTTCACCACAGCCCCCCCCCCTTTTTCCTTGGTCTGTGGGCAGTGTTTTAGTTATTTCCTGTGGTGTTTACATTTCAAAGATATGGTAAGATTTATAACTTCAAGGAACAGAGAAGGAATGCAAGTTTTCTCTTAAGAGTTTTGGGGTGTATTTCTCTATTATCAGAAGTCTAGGGTAACAACTATTTAAAGTTTTTCTTTGTATTAGGCGTTGGACAGTATGGGGCGCTTCATCTCTTTCATTCTCAGTCACCACAACATCCTCCCCTTTGTGCTCCTGACTTTCCCAGGGTTTCTGTCTCTTAGTGTCCTAATCAGGCTTTGACACAGCACTTGGACATTAATCTGCAGCAGCTTGTGCTCTCCTAGCTTTGTCATATGACAAGCTAAGATCTCCAATTTATAATCCTGCTCTCTCATCTTGTCTGCCAGCCCCAAAGCTGGCAGAGCAGTGGACACCTGCACGTTCTTCTCTAACTTCAGCTCTTCTTCCAACTGTTTAACTCGAGCTTCAGCCTCTAGTTGTGCATCTGTGGCCAGTGGCCTGCCCTCAGTAGAGGCCAGCCCACTGTGGCAGCCATTCATTTTCCTTCTTTGCTGCTCTGTGTAGTTCCTCTAATAAATGCAATAAAGCAGCCGGTGTTCTTGGGGCATCCTTGTTTTCATGTGGTGGTCTGCAAGTATCAAACATACAGGCCACCCTCCCCACATAGAGGTCGATGTTCAGCTTGGGATTTCCCCCAGGGATGCCTCTTTCCCAAGGCCCATTTCTTCAGTCTCCTGGCTGGCTCACAAATTGTCAGTCCACACACTGGCCCCTGTACAGAGAGGACCAGGAGAGACCAAAGAGGTTGACCACTCCAGGTTGGAAGGTAGCAGTTTTAATAAGTAAGGGAACAGGCATATGAGGCTTGTCTTGGCTGGCTGCATTGTACCCACCCACCAGAATCTTAAAGTTTATATAGTTTATATAAACTTATATAGTTTAACTGGGTTCAGTCACATGTTCAGTCCAGATGGTCTCAACAACACCTTACTCTCTCAAGGCTGTGTCCTTGTAACGGCTCCTACTGTGGGAACAGTGTACAGAGTGTATATTCCAGGGACAGGAAAAGGGTGAGGAGCCTCTGACTGCCTGAGTCCAGATCGAGGGTGAACTGGCAATCATGTCCTCTTGACATGACTTAACAGAAGCTTATTAAATCAAATGAAATAGAAAGTATAGGCCCTGCTTTTGGACCCTTCCCCACTCTGGGGTATTAGTTCATAGATGAGGGGACTGAGGAGGAATTAGGTTTTACCAGAGTCCTGGAGTTGACGTTGCAGCTTTAAACCAGCTTTATGGAGGTAATCCCCTTGAGAAGGATAATGATGTAGGCAGGATATTGTTTGTTGTGTTGTTTCATCCCTCCACCTGTCTGTCCCCAGGACCATGGCCAATAGCGAGCGCACCTTCATTGCCATCAAGCCCGATGGAGTCCAGCGCGGCCTTGTGGGAGAGATCATCAAGCGTTTTGAGCAGAAGGGATTCCGCCTTGTTGCCATGAAATTCATGCAGGTACGTGGACTTCATTCTTGCTGTTTCTATTATTTCATAGAAATAGGAGAACATCATAGGTCAGCCTCTCTGTTTCTCCCTTCAGCTCATTCTAGGCGTCTCCATTTAGGGTGAACACAAATGTCCTAAAACCCGGAAACTCCTCGGTGGCATCTCCGCTGAGTCTTGGAGCAAAAAAGTTATTTGCGACTTTCAGAAGTAGCCTCCCTTTCCTCTTGGCAATGCAGGGTTCCACATATGACTGCAGCACTGTGATTTCTGACGCAAAGCCCTGGGCTTGTTAGAGCTCCTGATCGTGAGCTTCCTGAGCAGATAATTTTAGAGACCCCCCCCCCCACCACTGTCCCCACCGTTTGAGGCAGGTTGTTTTTCAGCAAGGAAGTCTTTCTATCATTGTTAACACCTGCCTACTGTCTAGCATATATTAGGCACCATCAGGGCATGTAGAGGAAAGTTGTGATTTTGCCCTTGGGGCGGCCCATCTGAAACAGCAGAGGGCAGACACACTTGCAAGATACCTACAAAACAATATTTCAAAAAATGCAAAGGATTGATTGACCAAGAACCCATCTGCAAACAGACCTGGGAAATAAGAATTTACATTCTCAAAGCGAGTACATTAGGGGATCATCTTTTTTTCTTATTAAGAGTCAACTTTAATGAATGAATCAGAAAAAAAAGAGTGGGGGGCGGGTCACGCAGCTTGTGGGATCTTAGTTCCCTGACCAGGGATCGAACCTGGGCCCTGGCAGTAAAAGCGCCAAGTTCTAACCACTGGGTCGCCAAGGAATTTTAAATTTAGTTTGATTTGCATTTTAGTTCCTGTGTGATGTTTTAGAAAAACTGTGTTAATATAAAAGGGAGAAGACTGAGGTTAATGCTGAGGGGAGAGTGGGACAGAATGATTCGAGCCAGGTATTGGACAAGCAGTGCTCTCCAGAGAGTTTGTATATTAAATTAGGGTTTTTTTTTAATGCAACTTTATTGGAGTATAATTGGTTCACAATACCGTGTTAGTTTCTGTTGCACAACAAAGTGAATCAGCCATATGCATACACGTGTCCCCGTATCCCCTCCCTCTTGAGCCTCCCTCCCACCCTCCCTATCCCACCCCTCTAGGTCATCACAAAGCACTAAGCCTATCTCCCTGTGCTATGCGGCTGCTTCCCACCAGCCAACTATTTTACATTGGGTAGTGTATACACGTCAATGCTACTCTCACTTCGCCCCAGCTTCGACCTCCCACCCCATGTCATCAAGTCCATTCTCTATGTCTACCTCTTTATTCCTGCCTTGCAACTAGGTTCATCAGTTTTGAAGGTAAAGTGAAATCAAAGTATTGTTGATCGGATATTTACCACGTGCTGGGCGCATGTGTTTTTTCATCTAGGTCTCATGACAACCCAGAGAGGTACTTAATCCTTTTCCCGTGGTTGTTAGTGATAGGAAGCTGAGGCTTGGAGAAGTTAAGTAATGTGTGGTTATCCAGTCAGTGATGCAGCTGGGATTTTAACCCAGGTCTCTCTGACCCCTAAGTGCATACATTTTGTCCTTTATACTGAGTTTCCTATCAAGGGCATGGACTTGGTGAAGAATGGGAGGAGGGATAGCTGCCATGAGCCTACAGGGTTATTTATTTATTTAAATTTTTTTCTTTAAAAAAAAAATTAGAGGGCTTCCCCGGTGGCGCAGAGGTTGAGAGTCCGCCTGCCGATGCAGGGGACAAGGGTTCGTGCCCCGGTCCAGGAAGATCCCACATGCCGCGGAGCGGCTGGGCCCGTGAGCCATGGCCGCTGAGCCTGCGCGTCTGGAGCCTG